ATTAACTTGCGCAAGTATTTAAAAGAATAATTTTACTACTGTAAAACAAAATAAGAGAGAATACATCTAAGATCAATATTTAATGAAATAATTTTATAATTTTAAAACCAACTATTGAAAGTACATCTCTGAGACTTATATTTAAAGAAATAATTTCTTTATTATAATACGAAATAATTAAAAATACAAGTCTAAGACTTATGTTTAAAGAAATAATTTCTTGATTATAATACGAAATAATTTTAAAAAATGTGTCTAAGAAAACATTTTATTATCATAAAAACAAACAACTGAAAGCATATGCATATCTGAGATGAATATTTATAGAAAGAATTTCTTTGTTATGAGGATAAATCATTCTAATATATTCATTATATCATTAAGAATACATATCCAAGACTAATAGTTAAATAAATTATTTTATTATTTTATAACAAAACAGCGGAATTTACATATTGTTACGAAATGTCCAGGCGCGGGGAGTTAGCTTCCCCGTTAGGGTTTCCATAAAACGGCAAGGAAAGGCAGGGTTGCCGTATTTGGTGAGAAATCACCAATTTGGCGACAAAATTGGCATATGCCATGGACGGATGGAGAACCTTCTGGAACGAATTCTTACCGGTTTAGCCCAGAATGTTCTCGAACACAAGCCGAAAGCTATATAAACCCTGCTGATCCACAGTCAGTTAGTGTGTACCTCGTGGAGGGCAAGGTAGTCAGTTCGTGAGAAGTAGATCGAGTTGACAGCTGGGCAGCGAGTGCCGAGTGGATCGTCGAAGAGCCTCTTAGTGTATCGCAGTTAGTGCATCGTCAAGAGAGTGTGTTCAGCTCCGGGAACGACTGAACCGAAGAGTCGGGAGTTGTGCTCTGCGTATCGTCGAGTGCATCGCGTGTTGTAGCGTGGAGAGTCTCGAGAGCACGTGGAGTTACGAGAACGACCGAGCAGAGTCGGGAACTGTACTCTGGTGCTTTGCAGTGAAGCTGTCTCCACCGTTATTGCCTGACAGTTTGAAGTCTGTGTCGCTGAACGTGTCAGCGTGTTTATAGTAGTTCATCGACGACTGTAAAACGTGTTTTGGAGCTGTCTTGATAATACTGGCAAATAAAATGTGTTTCAATAATTTATCAAGTTTCGTCGTTATTCACTACAAATCCATACGAACCCCGTAACGAACGTGAAGAAAGAAAATAACGTAACAATTGGTGTCAGAAAGAAAAAAAACGTAACAATATTTATTTTCTGTTTGAAGTCTAATGTTTGGTATATACAAGAAGTTTCTATTAATCACACTTTGTAAATCACACCTGTTGATAGCTAAATATTAATTTTTCAGACTGGCATGTCCTTACAACAGTTCTAATATGACCAATTAACGAATAATTAACTTAAGCTAAAAAATAAATAAATTAAGAAAACTTTCCGAGTGACAAAAACTCGAGAATAAATAATGAAAACCTATTCATTACCTTTCTTCTACTCATTAAAATTTCTTTGACGCAAATGGAAAAAAATATATATTTATATGGAAATAATAATAAATTTCTTTATTTCTTATTATAACTTTCAGTTATAACCTTTCATGGTGTTTCTATTTTGATATTGATAAAGTTGTACCTTGGAGAGAGATTGCAAGAAATTATCTTCATCACGGTTTGCAGATGCTCATCCGTCAACAGATTTATATTCTTATTCATTTTCTTCTGTAAAAAAAATCTGATATGTACACCACACGACTTCCTTGTACGGAATATTAAATTATACGCATTTTTTCTTGCATTTCATTTAAACTTATTGGATTGAATTAAATCTACTTCGCCGACAGCGCATAAACCACAATAGAATAAATGCATTCTTTAAAATTCACTCTAGTATTTGTTTACCATAGCGACACTCTGGCGCTAGATTCACTTAACAGTATTATATTTCGTTCATATTATAACTCAAAATGCACAAAATTAATATCATTTAAAGAAATAAATTATCTAATCGTTTGCCACACATGTTCTATTCAAATACTATAATAAAGTTAGCATGATGTATAAAAGAAATTAAGCAAACAAAATAAAAAGAAACAGTTTTTCACAGACGATTGAGTATTTCTCATTCAATTAATTCAGTTCTCACTTCGCGAGAAGGCAAAAATACATAAAAATTCAAAATATCTATATTAAAAATTGCGAAGTAAATCTTAAACACTTATTTCCTCGAAAAAATTCCAGAAAGGATTAAGCATGATTTAATTGGCAATAATAAATGAAGGCGTTATCTTTGTTTTTGCGGAGCTAAGTTTCTCTAGATTGGCAACAAATCCACTAGTCTGCTGTTTCAAATGTAAACAAGCAATGGCCACCATCAAAAAAATTATTAGGCTTAGTGGCACTTAAACAACTTTAAAATTGTTGATAATTCTAAAAATATTGCATACAGATTTACTAAAGGCATAAAACCTTAACCGGACGATAAGAACAACGTAATTCAATCATTTTTAAAGCAAAAAATGTATAATTGACAAACATATAAGAGTAAAGAAACTGAGATCATTGAGCCGGGTAGTAGAGTGGATATACATATAAATATACTTATATACGTTTGGTGCGGCCGATTGCAACCAAAATACGAGGTGCACATCTACATGTTATAGCAGTCCTATATACAAAATTTCAACGTTCTGAGGCTACTCGTTTTAGAGTTATGCGAGATACGTACGTACGCACGTACATACGTTCATACAGACGGTACGAAAACTTCTCTTCAAATTTAATTTTAAAGCAGTTTTATAATTTTTTTGGAGGAAACGAGTCTTTTATTCTGTCCTTACGTACAGATATCATGCAAAAACATCGTTAAATTGCTTTCGATAACGGTCAAAGTGGATATTTTCGATGAAATATGCTGCCTGAAACTTTTCGCGATTACAATATTTCCTTTTTACTTCGTACAAAGAAGTAAAAAAGCTGCTCATACATAAATGTATTTCCAAACAAAACGATTATTTTTAGAGCAAAAATTCGCAGCTGAGCTTATTCATTTTTTGACAGGTACGAATAAAAGTTAATGACATCTGTATTTTCAGATCTAAATTAAGTTTTATATCACTTTGTAAGGTTTATCCTAAGTTTATCTGTTTAGTTAAAGCTACTTTCCTGTCGCTTCTAATTCCAGCTTTCAAATTTCCTGCCAGTGTGTTTTTAGAATCGTGGTTAAATGCAAATGAAGGAAGAGCAGTACTTAAGTCGAAGTTCCACGGACTTCGTTGGAGAGCCAGAGATTCTGACTAGCGCGCGTTCGTCTTTTGGCTACTCTCTCTCTAAGCTATTACAACGCTCGGCCGTATTTCAGGCCCTTGATAGCTTTGCCGTTTAGTTAGCATTTAAGGGGCCAACTCCTGTAGAATTTGGATAGCTTCGGCTACATCGTTTTAGTTAAACATTAGTTAAGGTTTATTTCTTATTACTCTTGAATTCAAGCCCAAGTAGTGGCTTTTCTGCACGTCCTGAGAAAGGACCATCTGTAAAACCCTTTTTTGAACAATAAAGGGTAATTAATCCTTCTTGATTTTGTTTCCTGAACTAAAGGATTATTCGCTTACCAGTTCTCAAGGTTCCGCACACTTAGCTGTAACGTTCAGGTGGGAACTTTATAACTTTATAAATTTATTAGTTCCATTTGTAGAGTTTCTGGTGAGTTAGTCATTTTCGTTTTTAATGGTAACGAAAATAATGTAATGTTTGAATCAAATTTCTTCCTCCAAATTCTTAAATTAATAATTAATGTTAAACAATGCTAATTAATTTAAGAAACATAAATTTGCGGGCCAAGTAAAACTGCTTTTGGGGGTCCGTCATTTTGAGATCACAGACGTGCATTGGTGAAAATTTGTACAAATATAGAGAAGAATTGCGAAATAAACCCAAAGTAATATAGACTCTGATGACAGAATACATCCGTAATACTAGAGTGTTGTGTATCATCAGAAGTGCTATTAGTCTCGAAACTTACTTTTTGTCTGTATCACTTTTGTGTCCAAATACTTTTCAAATTGTTGCCACAAAAATTATCGCCCCCAGATATGTTTAAAAAATTTGATGTGGTAACCACATGACCTTCCTTGTATGGCTTTTAAATTATACACGCTTTTTGCTGCATTTTTTTTAAACTTATTTCTTCGAATTTCATTAGTGATATATTTCTCCTTCAATTAATTCACTTCGCGGCAAACCAAAAATACAGAAAAATCTCAAAATGTCTTCATTAAAAACTAAAATACAGAAAAACATGAAACACCTAATACAGTTTGTAGGATTCCCCACTATGTATTTCTAAGTTACACATGAACGTGAAGAATCTTAAGAACCAGTAAGAGAATAATCGCTTGAGTTCGTCGTGAGGTAGAAAACAATAAGTGACAAGGGTGAAATAACCCTTTATTATTCCAACTACAGTTTAACAGAACTCCGTCTTGGAGTTGTACAATAAAGCCGACACTCGGGCTTCAACTTAGTAAACTAAGAATTAAACTAAACTAATATTAACTAAAGAGATATAGCCGAAGCGATCAAGATTCTAACGGAGTTGGCCCCTTAACGCTAATTGACTGCGAAACTATCAAGGGCCTAAAGTACGGCCGAGCGTAATAATCGCTTACAAGAGAGTAGCAGTAGTAACCGGAGGTAACCGTGCGGTCAAAGGATGCCGCCATGACGTAATATAACAATAGATGACGTAAGAGAACAATATATGTCGCAATGGGGCTTCCTTTGATGTGCCGCCTCCGCCATCTTGGATCACGTGAAACCGGAAAGTGACGTCACAGAAAAGCGTGGCCTCCGCCATCTTGGATTTCTCCGGAGTGAAGTGACACACCGCGCCATCTTGTATCACGTCATGGAATGACATCATCAAAGTTTCGTTTTGATTCTGTGGCAACGATTTTATGTCTCAAAGTTTTTATTTTTTGTGGCATTGAATATATATTTTTAGGTTTTTGTGGCAACGAACTCTTGAACCACGTGTTTGGAATGACATCATCCATTTCTTGTTGGGGCATGTTGTTTTACAAAATGGCGTCTGCCGTATCACACCTTTGTATGCCTCCGCTAAGGTGTATGGATACTTTTCTGTGAACCAATCAGATTCTTTGAAATATGACCTCACCGTCTCTTAACCAATCACCGTTGAGATGAAATAAAGAGTTCCTACCCGATATAAGGTTATCCCGAGCAACGTTCCGCATTTCTTTCCTGCCTGTCGCCCTGAGTGTACGTACCTGCTTTTGCTTCGACAATCTTTCTTCACTGCTTCGAATGGATCAGGCACGAAACAACAAAGAAGTAAGTAACGTTTTGAAAAGTTACTGTTTTTAGATTTTTAATTTTTAAAAAAGAGTTGAATTTGCAATATGTGCTTAATTTGTCTTTACTTTTTTCAGATGGAAAACCTATTTGAGAATGAACCTATGCCTTTGAACGATAAAGTGTTGAGCCATGAAGACCGCACCCAAGATGTTCTCAATGAATCAGCTAGCTCTTGTGCCAAAAGAAAAGCAGAAGAAACATCCCATTTCGAGAAAAAAGTACGTATTTGCGAAAATCTTATATATTAAAGTTGATATTGTATGTGACCCCAATTTTATGTATTCTTATACTAACTGAATTTTTTTTTCAGCGCAAAGGACTCTTCACCGAAGACGCTATTCCAGAGGAGCTCACTCACATGGGAGACAATGTCTTTGTGGGACCCAGCATTTACAAGGGAAAAGTGACTGTGCACATCCGAGAGTATGCGAAATATGGTAAAGCTTACTATCCGACAAGACGAGGAGTGAAATTTTGAGCCATGGTGTTTGAATGTTCTCGCAACCAACATGACAGTGGAGGAACCAAGACCTGCTGACACTGAATCTGGAGTTGCCCAAGAATTTTGTGGTCACGTATAAAGATTCCCACTTTCACTCTGAAACAACTTTCTGCTCAAGGAGATGAAAAAAGTAGCCTCAGCATTACAACTACGCAGTGGGAAGAACTGATGACCAACTTTAGCCGTATCAGCGACATTGTCACCAACCTCGTTTATCAAAACATGAACTTTTGTGAAGCCTACGAAAGCGTATCCGACGAACCTGTCAGAGAGGAAAAAATCTACCCCTTTTGACATTTCTATGGGAAGAGCGCGAAACCATTCTAAAGATTCTTGAAGAACAATAACAACGAACTGAAATATCCCAGCTGAAAGACTGTGAAGAACTCGTTCATAAACAGAAACTGTGAATGCCATTGCTCTGAGATTCAATGCTGTTGACATCGCCAGGCAATTTTATGGAAACTTTGGGGTGAAGAACCCTATTTATGTTACTGAAACCTGCTCACTACCCATTACAAGGACTTTTTAAAATCTGTGTGTTTAAACCATGTACTCGATGAAGTAAGATTTGTAACTACATTTTGTGTCTTAATTGAATAGGTAAATTGTAATTATGATTGTAAAATATTAGGAGTTCAAATTTTAAAAAATTTTTCATGATGTTCAGACCTTATTTAAAAGAATTAATCTGTAATGATTACTCACATAAATTATTTTCAAAATACCTGTTGACTTTTATAAGAGTATAAATAGTGTTGTTATTCTTCAACAGATTATCATTCATTATTCAAGCCTTTGAGATGTTAAGTAACATTCATTTTTCTCTCTTGTTTTTTAGACCTATTTCTAGAATCTTAATATACGTGAAACTAGGGTAAACTTTTTTTCTGTTCTAGTTAAACATATATAAATGAATATCAGTGTACGTTTAGATCATAACAACTGTTGCAATGAACGCAGCTCTGGCTCAGACCTATCGGGATCCACAGGTCCCCGCAAGTTTCGGGGGTGTTGCTGCTTTGCATCGTGCTTTAAAAGGTCGCGTAAAAAAAAAAAAGACATCCAGAAATGGTTGCAAACCAAGGATTCTTATACTTTGCACAAGCCTTTGAGGCACACTTTTCCCAGGAACAGAGTCATCGTAGGAGGCTTAAACGAGCAATTTCAATCTGATTTAGTGGATATGCAATCTCTGGCCTCTTTTAATGATGGATATAAATATTTGCTGACCTGTATAGATATCCTTTCCAAATACGCTTGGGCTATCCCTCTCAAGGATAAAACATCTGTGTCCATCCAATCCGCTTTCGAAAAGATATTTTCGGAACGTACACCCGAATCATTACAAACAGATGCAGGAAAGAGTTTACCAATAAACAAGTTCAAAATTTTTTGAAAAAAAAGAAACGTTCGCTTTTTCACGACACATAATACAACCAAAGCTTCTCTGTCGTAGAACGATTTTTAATCGAACTCTAAAAACGAAAATGTGGAAATACTTTACCGAAATGAATACACGAAAGTACATTGATGTGATATTGATAATTGATATCCAGTTATAACCATACATGGCATCGTAGTATTAAGACAGAACCTGTATCCGTTACATTACAAAATCAAGAAAGAATTTGGAAAATTATACGGACAGCAAAACAAGTGCCTTTCAGATTTCAAGATTGGAGATACGGTACGCATCAGCCGAGAAAAAAATGGTCTTTGAGAAAGGATACGAACAAAACTGGACACGAGAAATTTTTACAATCTATAAAATTATTCGACGGATTCCTGTTGTCTATAAACTGAAAGATCTAGCAGGAGGAGAAGTTATACAAGGAACTTTTTACAAACAAGAACTTCAAAAGGTTTCGGACTCTGGTTATTATCCCGTAGAAAAAGTTTAAAAAAAAAAGAGGAAACGTCGCGGGAAAATAGAATATTTTGTGAAATTTCAGGGGTACCCCGAAAGCTTCAATGCTTGGGTGGATGATGTGAGAAGGTATAAAAAGGCCCCGTACATTCTGCTTATCTGTCATTTGAACGAAACATGTCTTTCTTTATCACACTGATCAGCGACAGCTCCATGCGCTTTTTTCCAGACAAACAAATATCACAATTTACCACTCAGCTTCCTACTCCGATGGATTTAAATAGTCAGTGGGAGTTATCTCTTGTGGACTTTATTTACCCTCACACATGGTATAACGTCCGAAAAGACAATAATTTATTTGGATTTGATTTGGGTGATGGAAAATTGGAAGGTCGAAGAGTGCCTCCAGGATGTTATGAAACGATACCAGATTTATTAAAAGCCATGAAAATACCTTCCCATAAAAATAAGATTGAATTCAGTTATCATCCTGTCACGAAAAAAGTGACCATTAAGACCGACGAAAACTGCAAAGTCATTCTTCACGAAGGATTAGCTGAGCTTCTAGGGTTCGAGCCGGGTGTTTACAAAGGATTGGAGCAAAGTCCTTTTGTAGCCGATCCAAAAGTATCTTTTCCTGTCATGTATGTGTATATTGCGATCTCGTAGAGCCTCAAATTGTGGGAGATGTACAAGCTCCGTTGTTAAAAATTGTCACCGTAGAAGGAAATGACGGAGACATCATAAACGCTCATTACCCCCGGCCCTTTTACTTGCCAGTTATCCGTCAGCATTTTCAGACTATACATATTGACATAAGACTTCACTCTGGAGATTTAGTACCATTCGAAAGAGGCAAAGTATTTCTTGTGTTGCATTTTCGTCTGAGACAAATTCTATAAAAGAAGCCTTCATCTGCAAATTGATTTCATTTGGATTGTGTATGCAAGATTAGAAGCATCAAAATGAGAGTGCCTTATACGTGTTGTACGAAAAAATTTGAAGATTATTATTTAGCTCAAACTGGAAATGGATTACCTTACTATCAAGGAACCATTTTACAGAAAGGTTATGGTATTGGTGGATTTTTTGCAAAGCTGTTTCGCAGTGCTATGCCTTTTTTGATGAGTGGAGCCAAAACAGTTGGAAAAGAAGCTTTGCGGACTGGAACACAAATTGCAAACGACGTATTGTCGGGAGAAAATTTTAAAGTCTCCCTCAAAACCAGATCTAAAGAAGCTGGCAAAAAATTAGCGAGGAAAGCAGTTCAGAAAGCAGACGAGATGATTGGTCACGGAAGGTTTAAAAGGAAGCGCAAAACCCCCAAACGCTTCATTTCGTCTAAAGCCAGGAAGGTGCAACGACGTGATACTTTTGACTCGTAATGGCTTTTCTGTTAAAAGATTCTCCAGAATGCGCAAAATCCGAATTGGATTTATTTTCGTTACCTCCCACACAAACAGTTATCGAAAAAGGTCTGTGGATTGAATTTCATCCATTAGCCAATGTGTCGGAAGGAAGTCCTGTTGAATTCAATGTTTCTGGAAGCGGAGACGACTACCTAGACTTATCACAGACACAACTCTACGTCAAAGTGAAAATTTTAAAAAATGATGGCAAGCCAATCACGGCTGAAAGTAAAGTGGGACCTGTCAATCTCTTTTTACATTCTATGTTTTCTCAAGTGGATATTAGCTTAAATGAAAGACTCGTTTCCACCAGTAATAACACGTATCCTTACAGAGCCATGATAGAAAAATTATTGAATCATGGTTTTGATACGAAAACGTCTCAACTGTCATCAGAATTGTTTTTCAAAGATACAGCAGGACGTATGAACGTTTTTGATATTCAAGACACTCAGCCGAATGAAGGATTCAACCAACGAGCAGAATTGTTTAAACTGAGTGCTTCGGTCGATATGATTGGCCGATTGCACTTGGATATGTTTCATCAGGAAAGACTTTTGCTGAATATGGTGGATATGAAAATTAAACTCATACGCAGCAAACCTGAATTTTGTTTATTGGGCGAAGGTGAATTTAAAGTTTTACTCGAACAAGCTTCATTGTTTGTACGCAAAGTGAGAGTCAGTCCAGGTGTTGTGCTAGGACATGCCAAAAGCCTAGAAAAATCAACAGCCAAATATCCCATTAATAGAGTGCTCTGCAAAGCCTATTCCATTCCAACGGGAAATATGAGTTTTATTCAAGACAATATTTTCATAGGTCAAATGCCTAATCGTATTGTGGTGGCATGTGTCGATAATGATGCCTTTAACGGAAACTATAAAAAGTCTCCTTTTGAATTCAAGCATTATAATATGAACTTTATCGGCGTTTATGTGGACGGTCAACCGGTACCTCATAATCCTCTTCAGCCTAATTTTGACAAAAATCATTTCATACGAGCTTATCAGAATTTATTTATGAATGCAGACGACAGAGGACTTTACCTTTCAAGATCAGAATTTTCAAAAGGATATTCCTTATTTCGCTTCGACCTGTCACCTGACCTTTGTGATGGCTCTCATTTAAATCTAGTTCGACACAGCAACTTAAGATTAGAAATAAAATTTGGGACTCCCTTACAACAAACTGTTTCGTTATTAGTGTACGCTGAATTTGAAAATTTGATAGAAATCAATAAAGCTCGAAATATTCTGTACGATTTTGGAAACTGATGAATTCATCACAGATTCATCAAATCTTATCTCGAGATCCTATTTCTTTGAGATATTATGCGGGTGTTTTTCCTTGTGATAAAATACCTGCGATTCAAAGTTTTCCCTGTGCACTGGTGCTCAATACGGATAAACATGATGAAAAAGGAACTCATTGGCTAGCTGTCTACATTGCAGACAAACAGACTCTGGAATTTTTTGACTCTTATGGACTCCGCGCCTGAAGTATATGGAAAAGATATCACATCCTTTGTCAAGAAATATCGTCATGTTTGCTGGAACAAGATTTCGCTTCAGAGTTTAACTTCTAATGTATGTGGACATTATTGTATTTATTTTATTATTAAACGCTGTCAAGGACTCTGTATGGAACTCATTGTATCACCCTTAGATGGGAAGAATCATGATTTCCAAATATTTCAA